CACAAATCTGCAAATGATGTCGGATGAATTAAACATCTCAGTGCAGATGAGAAATGTGTTAGAAGTTGTTGTTGATTTTGTATATCCTACCTTTTCTTTGTTATTTGAAATGGATGTAGATCATCACCCCATCTGCCCGCCATGCGCTAAACTAAGTTAAGCTAAGCGAAGTTAAGCGAAGCAAAGCGAAGCAGCTGCTGTCATAGTTCATACTGTATTTACGATACAAAAAAGAGAATAAGAAAGTGAATACAATTTCAAGCTATTAATGTTGTATAACATACGACAGATATGTACAGCAGGCCAAGCTAGCAGCTGTCCGACAATGTGATCTACTGACTTACATACTGAAATTCCTCTGTGTCGAAAATCTGACCGACCAGTTATAGATGAAAGTAAACCTAAAATGTTCAGTCACATATGCCTTGACCTTCAACACCACAGTATATCTTTCAGGTTTTTCTGACAGGATCGCATCAGTGTGAGTAGAGCAAAGGTCAGCATGCTCTTCATTCATTTATCATGGCTTACCGTGTTGGAAGACCACCGGTTTTTATCTTTCGTGGCTCTGTCGTACTATGCGCGTCTATTTTGGAGTGGTAACATTCTGTTCTGAAGGCATTTACACATGCATCAGATTTTATAAAGTCCATCCCTAAAATGGAATATATTCTTCCAATCCAAGTCGCCACAGGAGGCCAATGAACAGGCTTTTAAATGGACGGACGTTACTTGGAAACCAGTGGACATGAGCGGGAGGAGGGGGCTGACTGGACTAAAGGGAGCAGAGAAGAAGGACAATCACAGATGTGAGTTGTTCCTCAACACCAAATTGGCAATGAGTGAGATTTGTAATCGAGGAGTGTCATGTGGTTCACCTGCACTGACCTCTGAGTGTTTATAGAGCTCCTGTTGTGCATGTTCACTTCACTCAGATGACGACTTACTGGTATTTTGTAAGCCATCATTGTTTGTTCATAGAAACAAAACGCACTGACAGAAAGTACATATGTTTATTCAAGCACATTTTGGACTACTCTCTCTATTTTAAGCTACTTTAATTGTACTACATTTCACTGTCAAAAATGCTACTTTATTTCTCCAATTTATTTATGTGATTACTATTCTAGTAACATTTTACACTCAAAACCAATGTTCAGAGAGTATTATCCGATGAATAATTTGAACATAAATGACCTAACATAAAATTACAAATGCAGGACTTATAATGCAGTAATGTATTTTGACCCATTTTTTGCTACTTTTAGGCAAGCAAAAGGATAAAAAACACTACTAACAGTTTTCCTTTGAGAACGGACAGGAATTGAGCTGCTCGGTGGAAGAATGCTGCGCAAAGCTAACTTTTGTCTGTTTACTATAATAACAATTAGGGAAAGAAGAGGAGAATATATTTATTTTTCAAATATAGTTCTCTCTCTGTGTGTGTGTGTGTGTGTGTGTGTGTGTGTGTGTGTGTTTGTGTGTCTGTGTGTGTGTGGGGGGGGTCAGCTGAGAACTCATCTTGTCCCCTACACCCATCACCTCCCCCACGGTGCTCTCCGCTGCGCTGTGCTTGGACAAAGGAGGTTGAATTGATTTGCTCCAGCCTTCAGGATTAGCTTTCACTTACATCTTCATTCTGTGAGTAGTAGTCACTCTTCATGGCAAAGGAAGAATCAACACCGCTCTGTGCTTTACATTCACATGACCTTATATATAGTCTTAAAGAGATGGCAATGCTGGGGCTCCTCAGAGGACCTTCAGCAGTTGTCGAACTCTAAGGTGACTTTGAACCGGCCTACATGTTGACACTGTGGCATGTGGGCATGTATATGATAAACATGATGCATTGGCACCGTGTGTTCTGTACATTATGTTCCTTATCTCTGAAGCACAACACTGGAGCATAGGAGGTTTCAATGTCACCCCCTGGTGGTAAAAAAAGAAGGCAAGGGTAATAACAACACCAAAAAAGGATGCATGACCTGCATTCAGATGCACAGACCTACTGTATATGGATGCTCAGACAGAAGCATGGGATGAGGGTCGTGTTAATGGGGGTGAAGGACATGCTCGTTCATCTCAACACAAGTAAGCCCCACATAGGAGTCCTTATTGGTTGTCATGATATCATTCCCAGTTTCTATCTCAACAGGTGTGATTAACAGTCATGCAGAGGAAGCATTGACAATGTGTTTTAACTCAATTCAGAGTGCACTTTCACCTGCCGTGGAGAGGGACAAGCAAAAAGGGTTAATATGCAAATACTCAAGAAAATATTCAAGTGAATTGTTGGCTTATGTACAGAAAATATCAAGATATGGATCGTGCAACACAAATTTATTGACTCACATTCACAAAGACCTCTGGACTGAAACAATGACACACATTGCATGGAAACTTTAAAACAAAAAAGCCTTAAGATTACTTAATTCAAATTTAAATCCACTACATCAATACAGTACATTTTCAAACCATGAAGTAAAGTTGACTTGATCAATAAGCTCTAAAAAGCCCATTGTTTCTTTTATTAAGCTTTACATTTCCTTTAAATAAGATCTGTTTGATTCAACAGCTTTTTTCCATTATGTATTGTTAATATTATTGTCTAATCAATAGGATTATAACATCATTTGTAATTATTTTCCAACAGCATTGGCAGATTGTGACGTGATAATGAGATCATGTTAATAATTACTGCAAATCAGAAATATCAGTAAGGACTGCTTCCTCACAGCATCCAAAACCAGATGTTGAACACTGTGAAGGACTCTTGAGCCCTCTAGTGGTAATCTAAGCCTACAACCTGTAACTGTGTATATCAAGTTGTTTGTAGTTGTAATGTTACTCCTCAGTTTTTTAAGAGTAACATTTGAGTTTTATCAGGAAAACATCAAGTGAGTTATTTATAAAAACATATAAAAGTAGATGAAATTGATAAAAAGATTCAGGGAATAAACATTCCAACAGTATATCAAATATAAAATAATGAAATGAACTCCACTCGACTGGCAGCAACATGCTACGTACAAGCATGACAACAATGACTAAATAATACGAAATATTCAAAACGATCATTATTGCTAATAGTTTAACTAAAGAAGAAGATCCATGTACTACCTCCACTGATAACAACATTCAGATGCATCTTTGCACGTACCAAGTAAGGGATCTTGTGAACTATATCTCGTTTTGATGCAAAAGTCCTGTATGGCATAATGCTCTTAAACTGCACATTTATTTTGAAAACCCCACAGTATGCATCTTCACATTTTTCTTTTAAGGGGTAAAATTGTGTTATCCTTTTTTTTTTTTACTTGAATACTTCTTTATGCATGTAACATTATGTAACATCAAGCTGTCTGTGGCTCTTTTTCTGCTGTAACAATGTACATTTCCCCTCTGTGGGACTAATAAAGGTATTCTGATTCCCATATAAATAACAACACACACATTATGTAGGTTATTATAGGAGCCAGACTGCCTCCATAACAATCCTCTGTCTTGCTGTGTGGTGTGTTAAATACTGGGGTGTGTCCTTTCCACTCTGAAACATGAGCTGCGACGGCCACAACCAAACTGGCTGCTCTTCAGATAACAGGTATCTATCAGTCTGTGTGCAGAGACGAGTCTTCCTTAGAACGACATTCATAATGCATGCTGGTCTTATGGATCTGCTCAGCCTTAGAGCCTCAAGTCATTACTGTCCAACCGTATGGTAACCAACACCAGGAACACGAGAGCTACAGGGCTTATGGATCCCATTTCTCTGATTAATCAAGATTGTCATCAAGGGTACTCTGCATAACTTCATATTATTCTCTAGCAACAGCACATTCCTATTGTAGAGTATATAGAGCATCTGCAATGCGTAATTCAATTAAAGATCTAATTGACAAGTGTCACATGTAACATGAAATGTATTTGTTTCTTTATTTGAATGTGCAAATCTGTGTGTATTACTGGACTCGAGTGTATTGTTGTGGTTGGTTGGAGAAACCCAATCAGTCATTAAAAGTTTATACATCTCTCTTTATCTACACAACACTCGCCGGCCCTCTCATGTTGCCAAGTGACCAGTCGCTGAAAAAGCCTTTGAGGTGTACCTGAAACTGATTGGTGTTGGACTGCTGCAGCCAATGGGAGCAGAGGAGGAGGGTTTGCAAGGAAGTGGTCAGGTAGCATTAGGTTTATGATAAATGGTATGACTTGTGTTTCCAGAAATAAACGGCAGGTATGAAGGTGTCTGTGGTTAATTCAAAGGGAAATAAAGATACAAATACAATTAATTAAAGAAAAATTGTCTCTGCTTTGTGATTTCTGACTGCTGAATAACATTAAGACCCAACTTTGATGGAAACCTGTCATTTAGAAGAAGGGCTTTATCTGTATTCATAAGAAACATACGTGCCAAAGAGGGGCTGCATTACAAAAAATCATCCAAGTAAGATTTTCAACTTAACATAAACATGTCAGTTCTGAGTGTGTTCATGTGTGTGTGCATCAGGGACACTCGAGCCAGTCTATCAACACTGGCTGACAATGGTCCTGTGGCTCTGAGAAAGAGACCCTCTGAAATATGCATGAGGAAATCGACACCTGTTTCCAGGTAACCAAGGCAGGGATTCTGAACCGTGACGTTGAATTTAGTGTGTCTATGTGTGTGTCTGTGTGTGTGTGTGTGTGTGTGTGTGTGTGTACACCTGTGTGGGCGCATGCACAGCACAGCTTCCTACCTGTTCAGACACTCTGTAGGGACGAAAGCAGCTGTCAACTCAAAGAGAAAGACATAATCTGAGCGGGAGAAATGAGATGAAACAGAGCGGGCCTTGGTTCTGCAAAGGTTCCCTGCACTACTGAGAACTTTTACGCATGGAAACAGGTCAAAGTTGGCCCTTTTGAGACGAGCTCAAGCGGAGACTTGGTGGAGGGTGGACCACAGAGGCTAAAGAGGTCTTGACAGGTCTTTCTCTGAGTGCTGAGCATCTATTCGTGCAAGTATGAATCCAGTGTGGAAAGTTTACAAGAGCAAAGTGCTGAAGACTTTCAACCCTGAGTATGAGGAGGACGCGGCTGAAGAGGTACAGAACTTTTCAATCTTAATGATCCATACACATATGGGAAAGTAGACGTGGTTGTTGGGATTTAAGTCAGGAAATTACCAGGTTTTGTTTCCTCGTCATTTTTTATTCAATTCAATTATCAAAGTCAGTTGATCTTGCAGGCTGATTGGTTTTCTATACAAAGGGAACATTAAGAAGATCTTAGGCCTTCAATATACTTCTCTGGTGCATTTTGACTTTACCAACTGAATTGGTTAAAATGTGCATGCAGATCAAGTGTTTTTATAGAAGTGTCAAATGTTAAATCCTGTAGCAGATATTATCACAGCAACAATGAATAGCTTGTAACTGAAGTATTTTACATCAAGGAACAACAAGGCAAATAATCATTGGAAACTAATTATAGGTCATGTTTACTTAATGACTATACTTAAATAAAAAAATTGAGGTTGGAAAATCTGTCAAACATAGCATTGATGAAGATTAATCCTGTGGTTTGTAATATGTTTGGCTTGATGAGGCTTAGTTTGAATAACTGTGCCTAAGAACATAAAAGTTACAATATTTAAACCAAGAAAAAAATCTGCAACACATCGTTTCACCAGTTACACATTTTAACAGATGACTCACAAATGGAGTATTTTACATTGTTGTGCATGTACCTGACTTTTCCTTTCACCAATTGTTTTCAATGCGACATCTGTAAGCCATCAGGGTTTGGTACCAACGAATCAGACACAGCGCTGCATTGACCCAGATCTCTGGATGACTCAGAAACTCGATCCTGCACAGGAGCTCAACAAACGGATTAGTTTGCATTCCTCTAATTGACTGACATGGAGAGGAAGAGACAGATAGCCAGGGCCTCGTGCACTCTGCCTCCAATTGTAGTCTCTTTAGTGCCAGAGCAGAGACAGATTCCATTTGTAGGAATGTGCAGAGTTGTCAACGCTGCTATTGAAGTCGACATTGCTCTTTGTACACTTGTGCAATATTACACAACTACTTATGTATCATCACTAGGACCTAATGTCACACATATACTGATGTGGAAATACTAAACAAAAACAATGAAACAATTTTGCAAGCGGCTGTTACTTCAGACTAGGGCTGTCCTCATGTCATTATTCGTCAAAAGATTCCACTTAATATTTATCTACAATCATAACTCATTTGATGTGCAAGCTTTTTTAGGCAAATGCAATACATTGAAAATGATGAGTATGCTCCTTACACAGCATACCTATCATGCACTGGATTATTTGCCAAATAATAAAATATTGAATATATCATCCATTGTTCACGCTCCAGCAATCTACCTCTTCAATACTCTTCATGCTCTTTTCTTCATGTACCCTTTTAAGGGGCTTGTTCTGGGTATTCTACAGGTGGTAGTGTCCACATTAGGCACTAGGTGGCACGAGACGGTAAATGGATATTGCGGTGTGGACATGTAAGGTACATCCATTGAGTCTTTTTTACTCTGTTGCAGGTCACAGAGGTGGAGAATGACTTAGGACCTGTCCAGGAGGATGAGGGACCCAACGCTGTTTCCCAGCTTGCAAAGAAAGTGTGTGAACATTAGACAGCTGCTGCTTAATGTTTGTAAGATTTTTATATTCAGGAAAAGTGTTTAAGTTAACCCTATAGACGAATAAAGTAACATTTTCAATATACCTCACAACTTCAGTGTCAGTAATGAGCAATGTTGTACGTGGTTGTTAAGCGTGTTCTTCTTTTAGGACTATTGTTCAAATGATCTCATGAGACTACCTTAATGTGTATCTACTTTGACCTTTGACCCCTGTTTGTGTTTGGTTGTGTTCTCAGATGCAGGGGGCCGGGACTAAAAGCTGGAACAGGTTTTCAACTCTATTCAACAAAGAGGATGAACACCAGCTTCTGGAGGAGACGGAGAGCCCGCCAGTCCCCGACCAGTGAGTGGAAATCTCTCTTTGTTCACATCTGTCCTCTTTCTACCAGCTCAAGTTTCAGTCCTGAACCTTAGCAAACTGGATCCTGGAAATAAGGGGTATTTTTTAAGGTAGGTATGACGTGTAGGTTTGTCTTTTCATATTTTTATCTAACTGTACTTGAGAGTAGCCCAAATAATGTTTAAGCTTAGCATAAAGCATAAATACTTGAAACTGGGACAAAAAGCAAGCATGGCTCTTTCCTAAGGTAACACAGTTTGTTGACTAGCACCTCTAAAGCTCACTAATGTAATATCAATAATGACAGGTTGTGGTTCAGAGGTGCCGGTAGGGTGCTTTTGTTACCTTGGACTAAGTAAGGCTAGCTGTTTTGCCCCATTTCCAATGTTAATGCTAAGCTAAGCTAACATTGATCTTCTCCTCTAACTCTTTGAATGGAAGTGCAGATATTTTTTCACATTTTGAGAACGCAAAAACTGCATTCAGACCTGATTTTTAACCAGTATGTTTTCCAACATATATCTGTTGTTTCTATTTTCAGAACAATTCAAATCATGGATTGCTTTAAACTGGAATCTACCTCAGCCTAACTAATTAGTACTAAAAGGAAACCTGAAATCGGAAAACTAGTTTATAATGGTGAATTATAGGACATGTTGCCCCACTATTACTGACTGACTCCTAAAATTAACCCTGCTGCTTCCTCTGAATCCTCAGTCCACTTGCAATCAGGCCGGAGGAGCCTCCTCGCCCCACAAAGCGCTCGGCATTCTGGGATAGCTTTGCCTCCAACTGGGCTGCCAAGAAGCAGGCGGAGGCTGCTGCCGCGGCCGCTGCCAATGAGACAGCAGCAGCTCAGGGTGAGGAGGGGGTGACCGAGGCCGGAGGAGAGGTCAGCCAGGATGGGCAGATCCCTCAGGGAGAGGAGAGCGAAGAGGGAGTAGGAGGAGAAGAAGGAGGGAGGAGCGGCAACAGCTTCTCCAAATACGTGTCGCTCGGAGGAGGGAGCGAGGACGCATCCTTCAAGTGGAACTTTGTCACCAGCAAACTGGCAGAGATGAAGACCAAGAGCAACTAGCTGCTCCTGGTGAAGGAATCTGGAGAGTATAAACAATATGATGAAGGGTTTATATGTAGGAGTATAGAGGAAGTTTAGGGGGAGGCTATATTTTACACAGGATGTCCTGTAACTAACTGTACAGCTATTGTAAAAGTCCCTTTCATTCTGAGCTTTTGAATGATACACCGTCTCCTAACCACATCACAATGAATAAAAAAAACGTGTTTAAAAACATTTCCTTGATTATATTTTAGGCCCACATGCTCTGAGCCCACACATAGTTTGAATAACATTTTCAAGATAAAGCAAAGGTCAGATTTTAAACCTGATATTAAAATCTCAAGGGACACAAAAAGGTGTTCATTATTCTACGGTACTACCAGAATATAATGACTTTATTTCACAAAGAGGACTACTACAAATGTTAAAACTGAAAAGGTTACACAAATTGATAATCTGTTATTTCTCTGAGATGAGGTGGATGTACGATGCATATCTGCTGAGTTTATAGTTGTCTCTTCACCAGTTTGAGACACAGCATGACGCAGTGTAACATGTTTAGAGAATACAACAAATGATTGAAGTGTTGAACCTGGTCTGCACGTTACAGCCTGCTTTAGTGAGGTTGTATGGACATATCTTCTTCCCCAAAGTGCTTTTTAAACCACAAAAAGGTGCCTTCACACCTGTCAGCAAATTTGATCTAATCTGTAGTTTAGCAAAAACCGGATTAAAAGATTAAAGGCAGCGATAGCTGGATTAGTTGAGGATTATCTCACTTAACCTGCACAGAGGGCAGGGCTTTGAGTGAAGAGATTTGGCAGTGCGACACGGTTACATCATTTAAGTATTTCTCTCTCCTCGGATAACAGGAAGGGGGGACGTGTTGCATTTATACGAAATGTGTGAACTATGAATGTGTGCATGTGGTGAGATAATGTCAGGTGACTTGATGACTTTACTGACTTTTTTTTCTGATCTTGACTGAGACTCTGCAGTGTGAGCTCTTTACACTCCTGATTTTGTGACATGAAAGAAAACTTGTTTATTTCAGATTTTGTTTTTGTCTTATTCTGTTGTTTTGATTAATCTTATATTTAATAAAGACTACTGCACTAAGAGTTCTCACCAGTCGTGATTGAGCAAATGTTCTTTCTTCTGCAAAACAGGATGAAAATATCAACCCTTTTCCAGAAAAAGTGAAAGTATTTTTAGCAGCAGGACAGCATGGTGAGCCAACCATACTAATATTGATACGAGGAGTGAAGCAGGTAGGACCCGAACGCAGATAACACTGATAATACCTTTATTTCAAGGGCTCTTATCTAACATATCACATGGACAAACAAAACACTCCATGGTGAACTCGGTCACAAACAAAACGAACCAACACTGAACACAGGAAGAGACAAGACTAAATACAGGGAGGGGTAATCACGAGACGAGAAACAGCCGGGCAGGGGAGGAGAAACACAAGGGCAACAGGTGAACACAATCAGACAACTAGACACACCAGGGAAACTAAAGACAGGGAGGAAAAACACAGGAAGAAGGACCAGACAATATACAAGGAGAAAAACAGGACAGGGAGAACAGCAAAACACCCAAACCTATAAAAACGTGACATAACATGAATATCGTGACAAATATGGTATTTTGATATTGGATGTAGTAGGACATCCTGATATTTGTGGCATTCTGCTTTTGACATACTTTATATAAAAGAACCAACACAAACTGTTTCTGTTCATTTTTCATTTAGTAGCATGGATACTGGAACAGAAAAGCTTTATCCCATCAGGTATGTGTATGTTTTTCTTAACACTAACACTTATTAGAGTTGATTCTAGCAAATTGCTTTCTTGAAAAAATCAAGACAACTTGACGAATACAAATGTTTGGAAAAAACAAGCAAACCAGCCATGTCACACATGAGGCACTAAATATCTTGTCCTGATTGATGATTGTTTTACTGTTAAGTTTGAACTTTTGTTAAAAAAAGAACCAACACATTATTTCCATGAGTCAAGAAGCAGCATTGGTAAACAGTGTTTCACATGTTTTAATTAATTTTTTGCCCGTAAAGGGGAAATCTAACATTAAGTGAAACATTAACATCCACAGGGGCATGTCACCAATATGTCCAGGGTTTTTTCATTCAGTACAGCCCCAGAGCCTCTGATGGACACATGGGTTGGACCTGTGCTATCAACCTTCAAGCTATAAAGGAGGAGTGTACAGTCTTTTTTAAACTGTTTGTGCATCATTTACATACAGTCATCAATACAACTTGATTTTCCCTTAAGATGGATATTAAGATAGCCATTTCTGGGTTTTTGTCTGAGTTGGAACTTTTAAACCAACATTTAAATTGTGACCAAATCGACACGAGGCAGATTTTACCCAGTCAGTTATTCCTCTAACCAGCAGGGGGCTCCCTTTACCTTCTGACTGTAAAACATGTGTCTGCTCTATTCTTGTATCTTGTTTTACGGCCTGTGTCCCTCCCACTAAAGCCATCCCCTGCTAAGAGCCAAATATATGATGGTATTTATGCTCTGATCTCTCTTTTAACCTCCTTTATTTCCTGTTTTTCCTCTAATCTACTCCCACTTCCTCTCTAACTGCTCCATGTTTCCTCAGATACAATACTGTTTCCTATCATTTGCGGGGGCCTTTGTAGACATTTCCTCTTTGAATTTGACCGTACATCCTAATAAAAGGTGAAGATTATGCGAGCAAATGCACCCAATGCTTTTTTTAGCTGACCGGCCTTCATTATTTCCATGTGCTTCCAGCGTCAGTCCGATTTCAGGGCTGTCACCGTGGATCCTGCGGAGCTCAGAGAGTCTCAGTAGTTTGGTCCAGACTTCCACAGTTGTCAGTCTGAATCAGAGCAGATCTCCCCCTCACTCACAACTCTGTGACATGTTCAGCTTTTTGGATATATTTATATAACTCGCCCAGTTTCTGTGTCAGAGACCATAAAATGGAGGGGGCAAATGTATCTACAGTAACAAATGCATGATTTTAATCTTAACAGTGATGTGTTTGGGGTGAAGGCTGCTCACTATTTGATGCTTGTGTGCAGTGCTGGGGTCCATATTGCAGATGTATGACATGAAAGCAACGCTCAGTGGAAATGGGGTTTGTAGAGCATGAAAGCATCAGGAACTGAACTTTGTGGTTGGCAGTTGTGCAGGGGTGGAAGAAAAGTCTTGAGTCACATTTAAAATATTTCTTTACTGAAAAAGTAAAACTGAAAACAAGCACGCTCAGCAGCTTTTCAGATGCTTGTACTATATTTTCTCAATTGTAAACATGATGTATACAAGTGTGAAAGGAGTACAATGCTAAATCGGATTCGTTTTTAAAGGTGCTGAAACACAGCTGAGGAGAACTGTAGAGTATTTGTGTCTTTAATTCTCTTTTGGTTTATCCCATAGGAGCAACACATCTAATTTAATCCACACAAATATCCATTGGTGCTGCTTTGAAGAGCATCTAATGAGTTATTTCTTTTTTTTGGCACAACAGATAATCAAGTTTACCCTCAAGTGGCAATACTTTCTGGAAGGAGATTCATAATTTAATGTTATATTCAGGGTTCCTAATGACTTCCATCTGTTTTATATTTACCACGTGACCAAACATCTTCTTTGAGGTTACTTTCAGCCTTTTTTTGTGAAGTGTCCCTATCGCAAAGTTCCACCCCCGCAGGTGTTTTTATTCAACCCGCCATATATGACTTTATCTCAGTACTGTGTGAATCTCAACTCTATTTTAACTGAATTGATGTTGCAGTCAGTTGTGGCCAAAAAAGCATCCGAGACAGGAAATAGTGTGGCTAGGCTTGTAAACGTAGCATGCATGAGCTATCAGGGATAACAAAGTTATAAATGACAGACTTTTTGGTACCACTTTACAATAAGACTACCCTTATAAAGGATTCATAAAGGGCTTATACAGTATCATTAGGTTGTAAACACTTTATTAATCATTAAGAACCATTTATAAACCAGTTCTAAAATGGTTTTCATACGTTTTTGAAGGCTCACTATTTGGCAAGATGACTAAGCCTTATATTGGCTGCCTAGCTTACTTCGTCTTCTTCATCAGCCAGCATCCTTGGTATCTGTTGTTCACTGAGTTGATTCCCCCCCATCCATATTGATGTTTCTTGACATCTCTTTATGACCATTTATTTATGAGTTACTAACATTTATAATATAAATGTTAGTAACTCATAAATAAATGGTCATAAAGAGATGTCAAGAAACATCAATATGGATGGGGGGGAATCAACTCAGTGAACAACAGATACCAANTCTGTACAATGACAATAAAAGCTTTTCAATTGGACTATGTAACACCCGCGCTTCTATTAGCTAGCGAACCAACACATTGTAGGCTACATCATAGGCTGAAGGGGCGGGACATCTCCTAGCAGTTGACCAATCACAAAAGAGCCAACCAGCTAACCAATCAGAGCAGACTGGTCTCTGGTTTCAGACAGAGGGTGAAAAGAGGTGCTGCAGCACAGGCAGTATGAGACGANGTAAAGTGTAAAACACATTCCCATGTATTAATGAGTTACTACCTTTTCTAATAAGGCTTAGCAGTACAGATAAATATGGGCTCACTATTTGGCAAGCAACCGGTCACAGTTGCCCTGTTTATCTCATGTCTTATAAAAGCTTATTAATGATTTATAAAGTGTTCACAACCTAATTAATACATTAATTACAAACTATTCGTAAACCCTTTATAAGGGGGTAGTCTTATTGTAAAGTTGTACAGACTTTTTTATCAAATATTTTACTGTCATTAATATCTGTCACTTACTACAGGCAAACAAATATGATTTCTTGTCTGAAATTAGTTTTATGCTCAATTTTCCACTCTTGAAACCCCTAAAACATCTAGCTTTCTCACGAACACTCGTTCACACACTGCCTCCACAGTGTCTGACCCTTTTATCACTTGTATTCTTTTCAAACAGGTGTGTGTGTCACCCTGTCTCTGTGATCCTGTGGCCTTTGCCATTTGGCTCACTTTTGGCTCTCTGTAGCACAAACATCCCCCCCCCCTCCCCATCACGGGAAACACTGAGACACGGTACTTTCTTTTTTTTCTGCTGATGTACAGCGATGACTAAACGGCTTCACACCTAGCCCCGGGCTCTGTCCCACACGCTGTAAT